TTTTTAAATTAAATAACAATATTCACCACTTATAATACTTATAAATACAGAAAATACTTCTGAATAACATAAATTATTATTGATAACTTAAGTGATTTTAACATTAAATTTAATATTTTTACAATTGATATATATTTTTTCAAAACATACATGAATATAAATTATTTACATTAGTTTTGATTTGTTCATTTACTTCCCTTTTAAAATAAAGTGTTAATGAATCAATCAAATTGTAGTATTTTGTATTTTTATTATTATTTTCAATAATATAAAACAAACAATGTATTTTTTGAATAAAAGAAACTGAATTACTTTCAAAATATTGTAAAACTTATCTTTTGATAATTTTATAAATGAAAACGATCATTCAAAACACGATAATAATCAGCCAAATAATATTTATTCATTGAACTGAAAACAAAAAAATATACAAATGCATTATTTAGTTGTTTTATTTACACACTAATTATATAATCGAAAGGTTTTGGTGTTCAATTAGATCAACACAAAAAAATATCAATATTATTGTATTTAAAGTATTTTAAAAACAATTTCATGTTTGATATAAATTATCGTTTTATATTTTTTCATTTTATCTTTTGGTATAAATAATTGTGTTTTGTCATTTTCTTTTTGTTTTTCAAAAATGATAATGTTATTTACCATTTTATTGTTTTTTAAGTTTTTTTTCAATAACATGATCATTTGGCCGACCCTGGTTTCTCAAATAAAAAATGTAAAGTGTATTATAACTTTTCTAGAATCTATGGAAAATGTTATTGGTAGTGATTTTATAAACAAAGAAATTGTTTTTATGTGAGATTTTGAGTTGTGTTTTATTAAGATTTTTTTCCTAAACAAGTCAAAGTAAAGTGTTGTAACTTTAGATTAATACCATAATATATCGGAAAGTTTCTTGTTGTGAATTTAAACATTGTAATAAACATGGTAACGAGTTCAAAAACGCAATCAGAAAAATGATGTCTTAACCTTTTGTCATACTTACTAGCTTATACACAACATTTAATAAATTAGAAGATGTTTATAAAGATAACGCCGAAATTTATGTTTTTTTAAAATACTTTGAAAATTATTACATAAACGGCGTTTTTATAGTTGATAATTGGTTTTTATTTGGCATTTTAAAATGAAAAAAACAATAAAGAGCTAAAAATAATACAAAAAGTTATTATCTGTGTTTTGTTTTTGAATAAAATGTCAAATTGTGATTAAACTTATATTAAATAATATGGATGGTTTTCTTGTGGTCAGTTTATACCAATGCCAGTTTTTAGGCATATATGACATTGCTGACACTTATTATTAATTAAATATATTTAAACATTGATATGAAAGTTAATACAAAGAATTGTTTTTAGATATGTAGACGACTCAAGTATATTGTAGTATATATAAGTGTCACAAAAAAATGGATGAAGAATGTTATAAAATTGCATGTGTTAATTTTTCTTCATTAGTTGCAATTAATTTTTCAATAATACCAATAAGGTGTTTTTATTATCATCTTGAACAATAAATTTTTTAGTTCTTTTCACAAATAATAAAAACAGTTTTGTGTTTTTTATATTTTTAAAAAAAGTAGAGATACTACATAATAATTATTTTATTCACAATTCGCTGTTTTACTGCGTTTAAATTGATGGTGTTAGTTTTTAATAATATATCAAATAAATCCGAAATGTCTTATTTAAGTGTAAATTACTTGTTTTTAATGAAGTGTATATTGAACGTAAATATTAGTTTAGAATTTAAATATATAAAAGTTAGTTGATTGTATTTTTTTTTCCTTGTAGTTGGAAAAAATTTTATTTTTTGTTTTGAATGTTGTGTCGATTAAAATAGTATTTTAAAAATAATGTTAAGACTTTATCTAAAAATACCCTTTCAAAATGTAACATTTTGAAAAGCTTTAAATTTAAAATTGTATCAAAATATATAAAATTAAATTATTTTGAATGTTGTACTATTTTGGATATACGTGTTTTCAACGCAATTTCGTTTTGAGTAAAAAATACGTTTAACAAATGTAATAAGTTTGTATTATAATTTTAAGTTTATTTGTAATATATATACCAAAATATATAAAAAGTTATAAAAATGACAGATCATTGTTTCATAAATTATTTTTATTAAATGTTTGTTTCGATAGTTCGTTGATTTTAATTCATATTAATTGCAATTTATTAATAATGTAAAATTTATGTTTGAATTTAAGAATATATCTTGTTTTAAAATTACAATACAGTAAAACCTTCCTGATGCATCCCTCTTGAGTACGGGCATTTTTAAATTATAACTAAAAATATAATTCTTTGTAGAACGGTTTGGTAATCTTAAGAGAACAAAATTTCCACACCCTCCCGCTTTTGGGAAATTTTACTGTTATTATTTCAAAGCAATTTCTCTTTAAAAATAAGAAATTGGTTTATCATATTAACAAATATTTTTCTTACACTTCGATTATTTAACAATTAATAATTTGTAATAAAAGTTGAATTAATAGTTAATGATTTATATATCATCAAAAGTTTGAATTGAAACAAAAATACAACTAAAATTATATATATACGTGTTTAAAAGTTATCTATTTCTAAATTTAACACGTCAACACATAATAACCACAATTTTGGTGTAAATAGAATGCAAATTTTAATAGTAAAGCAATATAAAACATTAAAATGAAGTTAATAAATGGTGGACGAAAGATAAACATATATTAATAATATAAAAGTAACCCAAAATGTTAAAGTTCTTTTGTTTTTATAAACTATAATGAAACTAAAATCAAATGTACATATATAGTCTTTATATATTTATTAATTTGTTATAAACATACAAATTCACAATAATATAATTTTAAAAA